TTCAATAAGCCAGCATCCCAAATGGGAGTCCACCATGAGGCATGAGAGGTGAAGCAAGCACATATGACTGGAAATGTACCATGCACACAAGAAATATGGCTTGAGGGATAAAGGGCATGGCTGGCCCTAAGTCTGATGAGTACCTAGGCAAGAGACAAAATGGCAACACTAGTAGTGAGGAAACACTTAAAGAAGAAGCAGTAACAAATACCCAACAGTAGGTAGAGATGGCTTAGGATGTTATATTGGGATGAGATGGTGAGATCTCTTGTACTGGATGCCCCTTGCAGCACATTTAGGCATGTACTGCTTCAAATCATGTGTAGCCTGAGACGTATTACCAGGATTTGGCCAGGACAGTCAAAAGTCACATTCACATTGGCTGTTTTAGTGACCTTATGCCCCCGGGGGTAAATTCCCATTGAAATGTGTAGGATATTACCAGCTTCATCACAGGACAGACTGTATGTAAATAAGTCAAATTTAGAGCCAAAATCTGTCTCAGATGCAAATGTATTATTCTGACCAAAGTCAACAAGAACCTGCGATGGGCTATACAAACCCCACACAGCACAACCTGGGCTTAATGAGGGCTCAGGTGGTTCCAATCTGTTGCAGCTGTGAGAAATGACAGCCCTGGAGGAAGACACTTCAGAGGAAAAACCTCAGCTCAGCTGATGGCAGACCAAGGAGGAGAGCAAATATTCAATGCTCAGCTACTGAAGAGAGGGCTGACTGAAGGCAGGTGCTCCCCAGCTGACAGTTCACTGGTGTCCCCTCCTCAGAAAAGGGAGGGCCAGATGCTAATGGACATTGAGAGGGAATCATCCCTTTTACCTGTGAACTCAATTCCTTGTTTTTGTTCACTGATTACCCTGGAAAGGGAGAGACTTTGAAGTGACCTGGGTGAAGGACCAATTCACAGGAAGAGACAGATCACCACAGGCCAGGAGCAACTGTCCACAGAAGATACCTGATGGGGCGACAGCTGCTATGCCAACCCTGGCCAGAAGAAGTCACTAGCGGTGAGTCAACCCCTTCTCAGAAGCCCATGCACAGAGAGAGAAGGCTGGTATTTTTTCTTTGCTGTTGCTTTTACAGCTGAAAATCAGAGTGGAAAGCAGTCCAGCCACAAAGTACCATTGAAATCAGCAGATCAATGTGAAGAGGGGTCTGAATAATCTAGGGATCTTAAGAAAAAAGGACTTTGGGTTGGCCTAGCGATCTGATGGTAATACAATATGCACAGATGCAGAGATCCAAGCCTAAAGCTCCCAGCTTGGCAAAGACTGGAAGTATTGTGAAGGTAGAAGCCTCAGACCTTAGAAGGGAGGGAATACCTTCTGCAAAGAATGGCACTGATGAACTACAGAGGGCTTTCTGCAGGGTTTGGTCAGGGAGAAAACCCTATACAAAGAATGAAAGAGATCCATAAAGACAGCTCCCCTATGCCCTCCCATGGTGGCCCAGGGAAAATGATGAGGCAATTTTTAGGGTTCTGAGTAACTTGTAGTAGTCCCCAAATAATGTATTCAAATAAATAGGGGAAGGGGTACTGACAGCCTCTCCATTGCCAGATAGTCTTATAATTCTACAAAGGGGGGAGGGGATATTTTCTCCTGTGATAGAAAGATATGTTCAGAAAGATAGAAGGAAAACTGGTTTTCAGAATATTTTGGGGGGGAGGTGGAGAAAACGCTACATGATAACGGGTCACGTGATAAAGATACTGAGGCACTCAACTGGAGTACTCGTACATGGTCCATCAATCTATGTTCTAAAGTGGCTGAGTACAAGGAACACTAATGTAACATACCTGAAGGGTGTAATATGGAAGCATGTACTCCAGTGTCATAATTATATAACAAAACTTTTAAAAAAATTAATATTTTCCTTTGAAATAGATCCCTGGGTTTTTAAAAACATTGCGTACATTGTAAAGACATTAGTTTGTATATGGTGTTGCACTTATGTAACTACTTTTATCACAGGAACTCAGTCATTATGTATGCATTAAACCATACAAACACACCTGCAAAATAGGTGTGGCAAGATGCTATCCCTTTAAGAGCAGGGCAAGGTGGGAAATCTTTCTAGGATATAAAATAATCTCCAGAGGGAAGGCTTTGATGAAGGAAAGACCAGCAGGAACAGCAGTATGGATTCTACAGCCTAGAATGGGAGTTCTGAGGTATGGGTTGTTCCTGATTTTTGTTTGTTTGGTTTTTTGTTGTTGTTGTTAAACTGCAATTTGGCCTTTCATTCCTTGAATCCTTGTACTGCTAAGGCTCAGGGGTCCATATGGCTCTGCATTGCAGTAGGCACGTATCCCCATTTTACAAATGAGGAAACTAGGGTTAAAGCTAACATTTTCAAGAGTGGCCTCAGTTGGGGACTGTCCTACTACTAGAGTAACCAGACGTCTGATAGTCAAAGACCTTCGCATCCACAGCTTCCATGGACATCATTGATTGAAGTGGAATAAGCACCAATGCGCCTCAAAGGAGCACCTAAAAATGGAGGCCAACAAAATTAATGGAAGTTTCCAGAAATGTTGACCTCAGTGGCTTGACCATGGTCACTTAGTGTAGTCACTATCAGAGCTAGGATATTAGAACCCAGGAGTCCTAAGTGCTAGTCCTCTGCTCTAACCACTAGACTGCACAGCTTCCAAACACACTGTGGAAAATCCCTGCCTAAAGGGCACGCTAACTGGTCCAAAGGGGTAGAAATTCCTGAGAACTTTATGATAAGAATAATTACTAGATTGCTGGGTCTCTGTGCAGCCACAACTTCAGCTGTGAACCCACACAGTGAGCACAGGGTAGGGGGAGCCAGAAGGATGCCATCTCAGTCTTGGCATCATTTCCTGGCTGCTGTAAAAATTCATATTTTGGCATTTCCATCATTGCTTTTTAAAAATAAATGTAATATAAGATGTAATACAGTGGATGCTATTAATTCCTGTTTTAACAGATGAAGAAAAATATGCTTTCATTCTAGCAGGTGGAAAATTCTGCTGTGACTAAAATGACATTCTCCTGGTTCCTGTGTCTAGGCTGTGTCTGTGCTCAGAGCTGCAGGAAGTGAGACACAGTTGAATGTCACTTGTTCGAACAAACTAATTTTTCAGAAGGCAGTTCCTTTGAGTATTAAAAAAAGCAACAGTTCATTTTTGTGCCACTTCTTAAAGGGGATGGGGGAAGCCACAGGCTTGTGTGTGTCATTATTTAGAACAATGCAAAGCAGACAAGAGTACAGAGAAAGGAGAAGGGGATACATACATTACCTAACTAGGAACAGGCAACAGAAGGTGAAATCCTGACCCCACTGAAGACAAGGGGAGTCTTGCAACTGACTTCAGTGGAGCCAAGATTTCAGCCAGAGCTGGGGCTGGAGGTGGTTCCCTGATGCTGTCCCCACCCCACCCCCCAATCTAGAACAAAATAGTGATATTTAGTTCTACCCCCTTAAGAAGAACTTTCTGCCAGGAAAAGTAGTGACCTCAGGAGCCTGATCTATATAAGCACTTCCTCTACAAAGCACAGCAGGTTGGTGAAAGCTCCAGGGTGCCTGATCCAACGCCCTTTGAAGCCAGGGGAAGGGATTTAGGCCCTCTGAGCTCAGCAGCCCAGGGCACAGCGCAGGCTTCTCCCTCCCCCTTGATTCTCCGGCGCTGCAAAGGTATTTTGCAGGGGGTGGAGTGCAGTAAGGCAGGACCTTATAAGAGCGCGAACACCCACCACCTTGTGCCATCGCCACGGCACAGACGCTGGTGCATGGGGGGAATCGAGGGCGGGCGCCTGGCACCTCTGGAGCCAGCTGGTCCTTCCCTGCGCTCAGCAGGGGCCTGTCTGCCACATCCCGGAGGGGCGTGGGGGGTATTGCGTGGCCAAGCGGCCGGGCGGGGGTTCAGCCCCAGACCTGCCTCTCTCCCCAGGGGGTTACAGCGCTGCACTGTCCGAATCTAGCTCTGGGCAGAAAAACACACCAGGGCCAGCGAAGGTGCAGATCTTCGCGGGGTCCGAGAAAGAGGGAGAGGCAGGCGGCCGCCTAAGAGGCAGGAGGTCTAGACAACTCCTACCCCCTACCACGGGCTTCCCGCCTTGCAAAACTAAAGTATAATTGACACACACTAGACTAAGTGCCCGGAGCAGCCCCACGCCCAGCCTGGGGCGATCTCCCGCACTGCTTCGGGCCAAAAGGTGGCCAGCAGGAGAGGGGAAGCCGTGTGAAGTGACTAAAGAGGGGCGGCCTCGCCCCTCACCTCCTGGCATCAGCCGCTCTGATCAGAGCTCCGCGAAATCAGCCTGGGGTTACCGAGCGAGGGCAGCGGCTGCCCCAGGAGGAGAGAGGGCAGGGCACTATTCCTCATTCCCCCTGTTAGATCGGGCCAGGAAAAGTTGTTAGCAGCCTCCCCCCTCCCATATTGTCCTAGGAAAGTAGCGGTAGCAGCATCTAGGCTGATGAGGGGGGGTGCAGTCCAGCCCTCCAGCCGCCGCCCCCCCCCCCGAGGCCGGGATCGCCCCATCACCACGCCACTCTCAGCCCTCACCGTGCAGTTAACCGCTTGCAAAATCTGCAAGCAGCAGGGAGCGAACTGGAGCCGAAGCTTGGGGGGAATCAAGGACGGAGCCTGGCTCCTGTCTGCTTAGAAGGGAAGGTGTTTCGCTACAGTAGCAATAACAATGACCGCAAATCCCCTGGCCTCGCCCCGGAGCCCTTGGAGCCGGGAAGGGAACCCCTCCATGCAGCACACCGTAACCCCCGTTACACACCGTAACCCTTCCGTGCCCGGTACAGACCCACTTCCCTACCGGACAGATCTATACGGGGCCACCTGTGCACACAGTAGCCCAGAGGTCTCTCCCCGCCCCCAGCATAAGTGACCCCGCCGCCCCTGGTTTGCAAGCACAGAAGCGCCCTTGCAGTAACCCCCCCCCCCGCCGGACCCCCCTGCCCGGGCACCGGGCTCGGAGGGCAGCTCGGGGGCTCCTTACCCAGCCCTGGCACGAAGGTGTTGAGGAACAAGCAGATGACCGCCACGGGGAACGGCATGTAGGGGATGGCAGCGCGCAGGGGTCCCTTCTTCTCCCGGACTTGCACCACCACCCCGCTGGAGGAGGCAGTGCCCCTGCTGGGCTCCCCGGCCGCCGCCGGGGCAGGCTCCCCTTCTTTGGGAAGCGGATCCATGGCTGGCGCGGAGCTCGCCCGCTGCTAGAGGCGGCCGCGCCGGAGCGGGTCTCGGCTGAGCTGGGCTGGGGGCACAGGGAGCCTGTCTGTGCTGGTGTCTCTGGCTCCGGAGTGGGAGCTGCCGCTGCTGCTGTGCTGAACAAGCGCTCCGGCTCCTGAGTGCTCGGCTTAAAGAGACAGTGCGCTGCCACACTCACTCGGGCACACACAGTCTCCCCCCACACTCCCCAACACACACCCTCTCTCTCACGCACGCACCTTCTCTCTCAGACACACATACACAGTCGCTCACACACACACTCCACCAACACACTCCCTCTCTCTCACATACGCAGTTTCTCACATACAGTCCCCCAACACACACACGCTCACACACACTGTCCCCAACACACACACACACACTCTCACAGTCTCCCTCACACACTCCCCCAACACACACACACACACACACACAGTCTCCCTCATGCTCCTCCCCAATGCACATTCTCTTTCTCTCTCACACACACTCTCTCTCACACACACACTTCTCCACACAGCTACATCTAATCTCACTCCTCAGTTTCTCTCTCTCTAGACTAGGATAGATGGTCATGTTTAAAATGTATTAACTAAATTGGAAAAGGGCACTCTGATTCTGAAATACAGGTCTGCATAAGGATTTAGGATATGTCTACACTGGCAGAGTTATCTCGCCAGCAGTTACAGTGCCACTCAGAGAGCGCTGAAGGACAACCACTGTTGTGTATTCACACTGTGAGCTGCCTACACAATAGTGTGTTCACACTTGCCGCACTTGCAGCCGTATTCAGAGCAGTGCACTCTGGGCAGCTATCCCACAGAGCATCTCTTCCTCTTCTGCTGCCAAGAGTTGTGGGAAGGTGGAGTGGGTCATGGGGCATCCTGGGTCCAGTCCCAATGACCCGTGATGCATTGCTTCGCATCCCAGCAATCCCTGTGCTTCCATCCGCATTTGACGCCATCTTTCAGCAGTTTGTGTACTGCGCGCTCTGCCTCTTCGGTCTGCGGGAATGGATCCCGAACTGTTGACCAGTATGCTGCTCGCTCTAACACATCACGAGTGGCAGTGGAGTTATTCCTTAAGCTACAAAGGTAAGAGGAGTTCGACATTGATCTCGCCACGCGTAGTAGCTACAACACAAGATTGCTTGTGGCATTCACGGACTTTCTGACCACAGTGGAACGCTGCTTTCGGGCTCAGGAAACAAGCACTGAGTGGTGGGATCACATCGTCATGCATGTCTGGGATGACGAGCAATGGATGCAGAACTTTCTAATGAGGAAAGCCATATTCATGGGACTGTGTGCATAGGCATCAACTTTTCCCGGTGCTGGTGGGTGCTCGTCCCCGTCCTTGCCCCACCCCCCTCACCCCTCCCTGCCCCAATTCCAACCCCTTCCCCAAAGTCCCTGCCCCAACTCTGCCCCTATTGGACTCCTTCCCCAAATCCGCGCCCTGGCCCCACCTCTTCCCGGAGCACGCCGCGTTCCCCCTCCTCTCCCCTCCCTCCCAGCGCTTGCCCCCGCAAAACAGGTGTTTCACGGCGGCAAGCACTGGGAGCTGGGGGAGAAGTGAGGACATGGCGCGCTCAGGGGAGGAGGCGGAGCAGAGGTGAGCTGGGGTGAGGGGACAGAGTGGGGAGCTGCCAGTTTTTCCCCATGGGTGCTCCAGCCCCTATGATTGTGTGATGAGCTCATCCCAGCCTTACAGTGCAAGGACACGAGAATGAGAACTGCCCTGTCATTGGAGAAGTGTGTGGCGATTGCACTGTGGAAGCTGGTTACTCCAGACTGCTACGGATCAGTCTCTCTAACCAGTTCGGAGTGGGAAAGTTGACAGTAGGACTCATATTGATGGAAGTGTGCAGGGCCATTAATCGCATCCTGCTCCAAAAGACTGGGACTCTGGGCAATGTCTGTGACATGGTGGATGGCTTTGCACAAATGGGCTTCCCTAACTGCGAAGGGGCAATAGATGGCACGCATGTTCTAATTCTGGCACCAGGCCACCTAGCCACTGAGTACATTAATCAGAAGGGGTATTTCTCTATGGTTCTCCAGGCGCTTGTGGATCACCATGAGCGTTTCATGGACATTAATGCAGGCTGGTCTGGAAAGGTACATGACACACGCATCTTTCATAACACTGGCCTGTTCAGGAAGCTACAAGCTGGGACTTTCTTCCTGGACCAGAAGATCACCGTAGGGGAAGTCAAAATGCCCGTTGTGATGCTGGGAGACCCTGCCTACTCCTTAATGCTGTGGCTTATGAAACCATACACGGGGAACCTTGACAGCAGCAAGGAGCAGTTCAACAATAGGCTGAGCAAGTGCAGAATGACTGTTGAGTGTGCTTTTGGCCGTTTAAAGGCCCACTGGTGCTGCCTCTATGGGAAGCTGGATCTGGCTGATGACAATATGCCTATGCTTATAGCCTCATGCTTCACGCTCCATAATATTTGCGAAGGGAAGGGTGAAAGCTTCACTCGGGGCTGCACCACTGAGGCTCAGTGCCTGGAGGCTGAATTTGAACAGCCAGAGACCAGGGCTGTTAGAGGGGCGCAGTGCGGGGCCATAAGGATCAGGGATGCCTTGAGGCAGCAATTTGAAGCTGAAATCCATTAATATTTGTTGCTAATGCTCAGGAGTGCAGTGCTTGTAATGCTAGGAGGTGATTGTGATTGGTGCAAATGATGCACTGTGAATGTTTAAGAAAATTGCCTGTTGATGTACAGGGCTCTGTTTGATTTCAATTAATAGAAGAAAGATTGCTTTCAAACCAAAACAATTCTTTTATTAAAAAACAACAACCAGAGGAGAGAGACAAAAAAACAACAACAACAAAACAAATCAGCACTGTGGGGGATCGGGGAAAGGAGGGTCACAGGAGGAGGTTGGGTCCCAGGACAGTTAAAGATTTGTGTATGTCCAGGTATTATATGCAACTTTGTCCTTTGGAGTACAGTGTAGTGGGTACTGTACTTCAGCAGGGCTAACCTGCACAGGGATGGGGGTTGAGTGCAGTGGGTACTGGGAGTCCACAGGGCTGGACTGTGACAGGGCAGGAGTGGAATGCAGTGGGTACAGACTGGAGACGGGAGGTTGATAGCAGTATGTTGGTAGTGTCTGGGGGGGGAGCGCATGGGAAAGAGTTTTGCGACCGCGGCTGCAGGGGAGGGCAGGCACGTAGCTGCTCAGTTTGCAGTGCTAGTAGTGCCTGGAGTGTGTCCGCTTGGCACTCCATAACATTTAAGAGCCGCTCGTGGCTTCGTTCTGGTGCACCGGATTTTCCTTTCGGTCCCTCTTCTCGCTGTCCTGCCACTCCTTCAATTCCTGTTTCTCGGCAGCAGAGTGCATCATGACATTATGCAGAAAGTCCTCTTTAGTTTTTCGTGGCCGCTTTCTAATTCTGCGCAGCCGTTCAACTGGCGATAACAAAGAGGGAGGCTGGGCTCCCAAGGTCATATCTGTGAAGCCAAAATGCAACATTTTACAGAAGCAGTATTGTTTGCAACACAGAGACCACTGATTCAGTGATTTAAAACACAGCCACTATTCACACACCTGTCACTAACTGGCTGACCCCAGGCAAGCACACATGAGCCACAAGACCCCCAAAAGGGTGAGTAACCACAGGGGCAGGGGAAATCAGTGTTCCAGGATCGTACTGTACACTGGGCACGTGGCTCTTGGGGAGACCCAGCACTGTAGGGGGGGCCTTATAATCATTATTGTCCCCACGTTTTCCACAGGTTGTGTTCATTATGGAAGATATCTCACTGCTGCGGGTGAGCAGGGAATCAAGGGAGGGTCTTCTCCAAGACTGCAGCTTCTGCCCTGACCTTATGCAGCTGGCCTGTGTGCAGGAATGGTCCCCCTCACCCCCACCCCAGTTACAGCAGAGTGGTGTGGGAAAGTTACCCTTAATGGGGCAAGAAACAAACAGCTCTGCTAAAGAACCTGTGGTAGCGGATTGCCCAATATCTCCATGAGAGTTTCCTGGAGATCTCTGAGGCACATTCCCAGGAAGTGAGGGAGTCAATCAACACCCTGTTCTGCCAGTCGGACTAGGCATGTGGCGGTACATGCATCATACAGACACAAGCCTGCTTTCTGCAACCCTCCTGCCCCCAACAACTTCCTTCAGTGATCCCCAAAATCAAAGCCACATACTAGGGGCCCCCTCTCCTGTTTGCGTTTTGCCAATCTCCAATAGCTAGCCTCCTCTGGCCTCCGGGGTAGAAAAGAGCTCCTGGCTGCATGCATCTCTGACCTCTGAGTCGTCCTCTGCCTCTGGGTCCCCCTCCCTCTCCACATCCTCGTCCAAGATTTCCTTCTCCTGGCTCGGTCCACTCTCGACTGGCACGTGAGCCACTGAAGTATCCACAGTGGCCTTCGTAGTGGAGGTGGGGTTGCCACCGAGTATTGCTTCCAGCTCTTTATAGAACCAGCAGCTCATGGGCGCAGCACCGGAGCAGCGATTTGCCTCCCGTGCCTTGTGGTAGGCGTTCCGCGGCTCCTTCACTTTGACCCTACACTGCAGTGTGTCCTGATCCTGGCCCCTTTCTATCATGCATCATGAAATCTATCCATAGGTATAATAATTCCTACGGCTGGAGCGCAGCTGGGACTGGACAGCCTCCTCTCCCCACATGCTGTTGAGGTCCAGCCGCTTTGCATTACTCCAAGCAGGGGATTGCCTGGTGCATGGAGCAGGCATGGTCATCTGGAAAGATGCGCTGAGACCACTGCACACGTCACCAAACAAACAGGAAGGGGACTTTCAAATAGGGTGACCAGACGTCCCGATTTTATCGGGACAGTCCCGATATTTCCTTCTTTGTCCCGCGT